AACATTACCTCCAGGGTTACATTCTATCAGTCAACAAGGAGGAACGGAAGACTGTGCTCTCTCCTCCGTCCAATTTCAGTTCCGGAAGTAGCGTTTTTGTAAAGGGGAGAAGAGAGAGGCAAGCCGAGGAGTTGTCTGATGATGCCACAAGGAAGAAGAAACCTAGAGTAACGGGGGATGTAGAAGGCGAGAGGGCAAAATCTGTGAGAAATACGAAGAAACCCCAGAGTGATAGGGAAAAGGGCAAAAATGAGGCCTTAAAGTGTGTCCCAAAGGATTCCTTTTCCAAAAGAGATGGAAAATCACTGGAGAAGATAAAACTACCAGGGGGAGAAGGGCGGAAGGATGGTTGTTCAGAGGGTGGCAGGTTGATTCTACAAGACGGTGCAGCAGGAAAGAAGAGGTCATTGTCACATGAGGTGAAGAAAATGGGGCAACAAAGTGAGAATGTTGTATTTCCCGATGCCCTAGGGAAGAAAGATGATGTGGTTCCACTAAAATCATCTGGAAAGAGTATCAGAGCCGGACATATGTCAGACATAAAAGATAAAAAGTCGGAAGAGAATAAATCTATCAAGGCAAAAAAGGGACACAGTGGAAATATAGCAGATTATGACACCATAGAGAATGAGGGTAGACAATCAAAATCTTCATTGAGAAGAAACCATAAAGCCACTGCTGTTGTTAATGACTCACAAGGTAAAAGCAAGCTTAAACAAGGAAAAATTGATCTGAGGAGGAAGCACTTCGCTAATGATGTGAGTTCATTGACCCCATCTTGGTGATAATTCTTTGAGTTTCTTTTGAATTTATGCATGTCCTGATATGATTAAATACGCAGGATCCTAGTGATGATTGCCAGATGTGTCATCAATGCATGAAGAGTGATAGAAAAGTTGTTCGTTGTCGCAGTGGATGCCGCAGGCGCTATTGTATTCCATGTATTTCAAGATGGTAATGAGGTTCTATTAGGGCCTAACTTTGAAAAATTTATCCATCTTAATTCCGCTAGGTTTGTCCAAAAATTTGAGTAATGACAATTTCTAGAAGATTTTGTTATATACTCTAGGCTTTATCACATTGTTGCAATTCCTGGGTCCTACAAAGTTGGGGTCTTAGTGAGCCTCTCATCTTCAACAAAATTTGAGAATTTATGGGTAAACATGAAGACGACCAATATAGGTTTATTGTGCATGTTTGGATAAGTTGATCTAAAATGTTTCTGTTGTACTTATTCAGAAATTTCACACCATTATTTTGAGGTTGCTAAAACTACTCTAGGCCTCTAGGGCTGTGATCTTCCTTTAATGGAAGATGCAGTAAAATCTCATCCCAATTTGATTATTATTCTTTGTATTATCGACCTGAACTTTACCTAGGGAATGCAGTAAATTCCTTATTGCATATATGTATTATTCAATATCCTGCTGAATTCTACATGATACTTTTTGCGGTCAGAGTAGTTTATGAAGGTTTCCTGAACTTAAAAGTTCTAGTTATGGAATTAAAGTATTGTAGATTATTACTCAGTCCTTTCATGGATTAAATTTCCTTTCTTTTTAGGAATATGCAGATTCTGCACTTGGGGTTTAGTTGCTAGCGGCGGTTTGTGTGCTCCTTTGTTTCTTTGCACTTTTTTACCATTCATTTGCTCTTTGCTTCTTGTCATGCTCTGTGCTTTCCGTGTTGTTTGAGCTGGGGTTTCTTTGAAACAACCTTTCTACTTTCGAGTTGAGGTAAGGTCTGCGTACACACCCTCCACGGACTCTACGTTCGTGGGATTCTAGTTGGTTGTTGTAATTGTTGCAGATTCTATGATTTCATGTGGAAGTGAAAGTATCCATGAATATTATACAACCCCATACGTACTATTATGTTGAAATACATATTTTGCAGTACTCTACGGAGTGCTTTTTTTTCTGTCCTTGCTTGTCTCTCGTAGTTTCTACCTCACTAATGCTACTTTTTGCTAGCAGGCCAGCACCACTGCCACCTCAGCACAATTTTTGACAATCAGAAATACGTAATATACTCTAGAGGGAGTAATACTTTTGTGCACTATGGGCACTGATTCCTCATCTTAGTACTTTTGGTTGATACTAGTATGGATTTTCAAAATACTTTTTGTGCATAGCTTTAAGCAGGAAACAGTTATAACCTTGATCCGATGCTATGATTGTAATTACTAAACTGCTTGCTCATCAAACTCTAAAACCTTTCCCCTTTTCCATGTCCAACATTATTTGCTTTTTAATGTGTGATATAGGTACCCTAACCTCACAGAGGAAACAATAGCGGAGAAGTGTCCATTTTGTCGAGGAAATTGCAATTGCAAAGATTGTTTACGTCGTATTACCAAGGTTGTTTTTTAGCAGTTACACTTAGGCATTTTCTCTGTGAAAAAAAGCTTCTCGTCACATATGCACTAGTCATTTCAATTTTTCCTTCATGGTTTACTGCAGGATTCTGTATATGTAGGAATACCACAAGATTTTAAAGAAAAGAGAAGCCATCTTCAGTATCTTTTAAATGCGCTCTATCCGTTTCTCAAAAAGTTTTATCTTGATCAAATGACTGAAACGGAGATAGAGGCCAAGATTCAAGGTATTAATCATAGGTATTCGGTGTCCCTACTAAGTATGAATTAAAGTAGTACAAAAGTTCTTATTTAACATGCAATGTCATTATTTGTGCTGGAGTTTTGTATCAGGTATTCTGTTGTGATAGGTTATGCGAAGGCAGCTAATTGACCAGTTTATCTGAGTTTTTATATTAGGGGTTTTTTTAACCATTGCCCAAGGGCAGTGGTTAAAAATATAGAATATGGAAAATTATCATTTAATCAGCATGATGAATTGCATTTAATGTGCTCATTTAAAATGCTAATTTAATGATAATTTTCCATAGCGTGTATTCATAACCATTGTCCTAAGGGAAAATGGTTAGCAAAACAACAACAATAACCCAGTCCCACAAGAGTTGGGTCTGGGGAGGGTGTGTGTACGCAAACCTTACCCCTACTCGAAAGTAGAGAGGATGTTTCCAAAGAGACCCCCGGCTCAACGTCAAAAGTTGCATTGCTTGACTAACTGCTACTTCATTAATTAAAGAAGCGCAGACAGTTTAGAAATCCATTTTGATTTATTCCATCACACTCCAAAGCCAAAAAATGGTGAAATTTTGGCTCCATCGGAGATGATGGAAAAAAAATGGTTAGCAAAACTGTTTTTATTATACTAGACTTCTAGTGTCATAAAGTGGTTATCTTGATTTCTATTTTAGTAGTGACTTCATTCTTTACATAAATGTTATCCCCTTTGTGTTGGCACTTATTTTTAATGACATATCGTTTATTTTACAGAGTAATACTTCTTGGAAACAATTTCAGTGTTGCGTCTAATGCGTAAACTTGGTATAAAAGTTATCCCTATCATTAAGCTGCAACTAATTTTAGATAAAAGGGTATAAGCAATCAGTGTGAATTATCTTCTCGGGCAATTAAAACAGAAAGAAGGCCAGTTATTATGAAACATGAAAATAATAGGCTGTGGCCTTTTAAATGGACTCATTTAATGGTTTTGAATCAGGGGCAAACAAAGTGCCAGTGCTTGGGGTGCAGTATTAAGCAACCTTTGATATTAATCTTCAGATACTGCTGCCATGCATTGCATTTATAGAATCTTAGTTTTAAAAATGCTTTTCTTCAATGTTCAACGTGTTATAAAAACTGTTAGAATGCTACTTTAGAGCCTTCAGTTATGTTGAGGGCTTCAATTTTGAAATGCATTTTGGGTATTATGAGAATTGAATTAAAAAATTCCAATTTTTGTTGGGCTTGGTCGCTTGGAAAGATTTCCAACAATTAATTGTTATGCTGGTTACTTCCAAAAAATGGCATATTTGGTAGAAAATAATTTACTTGATTTTTAATTGAATATGCTGGTTTCTCTGTAGGGGTATCATTGTCTGAGATAAAGATATCACAAGAAATCTGTCACAATGATGAGCGTGTGTACTGGTATATTTTATTCCATTTTTCTTTTTCTGGACTTTATCTTTTGTGACGCACTGATGCCAACTTAAATAGTATCTCATTTCACAGTGACAATTGCAATACCTCCATTGTTGATCTCCATAGAACCTGCCCTTCTTGTTCATATGATCTCTGCCTGACCTGTTGCCATGAAATTCGAGACGGTTGCTTGCAAAAAGGTCATAGAAATGTCACGCTTCAATCTCTTGATGGAGGGAAATCATATTTGTATGAAGATGTTTCTCACTCACTGGCAAGCAATGACTCAGCTAGTGAGGACCAGGTTAGCAAGATGCCAGAGTGGAACGCGGGGGAAAATGGTGAAATCCCTTGCCCACCAAAAGAAAGGGGAGGCTGTGGATATCTCAGACTGGAGCTTAAGGATTTTTTACCTGAAAGTTGGGTTTCTGAGACAATGAAGAGAGTAGAAAGCTTACTTGAAATTAATGGCTGTTCCAATGAGCATCAAATTCCTAAGGAGCAGTGTCCTTGTTTCAGAGATGAAACTGCTAATGGTGCAAAAAATGTTAGGAAAGCTGCCTCCAGAGAAGATTCTAATGACAACTGTTTGTATTGCCCATCAGCAAATGACGTTCAGAATGGTGACCTTGAGCACTTTCAGAGACATTGGATCATGGGAGAGCCTGTGATAGTTAGAAATGCTCTTGGATTCACATCCGGTCTAAGTTGGGAACCTATGGTCATGTGGCGTGCTTTTCGCAATATAAGTATCAAGGAAGGTGCATCAGATTTGGCAGTGATAGCGATCGATTGCCTTGATTGGTGTGAGGTATGTGTTATGATCTCTCTTATATATTATTCTTAGCTTCTGCAGTTTCTTTAATTGCTTCATGTTGTTCTGTTAGAAACCGTTATAAATGTTGGCAATAACTGATTAAGAGAATAAGAGATTCCACTATAGTAAGCTATGTGTAGTATATCTGCCTTGCTGGGCCATTTATAGTCAACTATATACAGTATATCCACCTTGCTTTTGTTTACCTTAATTAACATTCTATAAGAAAGCCTGTTATGCTTTTGGTATTAAACAGACACTGTTAAATTTTATTTTTAAATATATACTCTTTAACATTGTCACTTTGCTTCCCGGACTTGCAGGTACAAATTAATAATCATACCTTTTTTATGGGGTATAATGAAGGTCGGATGCATACAAATGGATGGCCTGAAGTTCTGAAGCTAAAGGACTGGCCCTCATCTACTTTATTTGAAGAGCGGTTGCCACGTCATTGTGCAGAATTCATTAGAGCCTTGCCATACAAGGAGTACACACATCCTTATTCTGGTATTCTTAATACTGCAACAAAACTACCAAAAGATGCGTTGAAGCCAGACTTGGGACCTAAAACTTATATAGCATATGGGTTTGTGGAAGAACTTGGGCGAGGAGATTCCGTGACCAAGCTTCATTGTGACATGTCTGATGCGGTATATAATTTTCATTCTATTGTATAATGTCTCTAATATCATCAAACTGTTATTTTCTTGGCTTGTTAAGAATGTATTATTCACAATGAATGAAAATGGCTACCAAAAAAGTGCAAAGTACTCTGAAAAAAGTTAGTGGCATGAAGTTGCTGTTCTCAATGAAAGAAAATGGTTGCTCAAACAATTATAAAAACATGCATGTGCACGTTCATGCAGAGAAAATCCACACTTTCATATTTTAACAATGGGTAATCATTCAGGTAAATGTTTTGATGCATACTGCCGAAGTGCGCATACAGGATTCTCAGGTTCCTAAAATTAAAAAGTTGAAGAAAAAGCATGATGCTGAAGACCTAAAAGAGTTGTTTTCTGTTGGTAGAGATGAAGGGGCTGAGAGCCCAGATCTGGTGCCTATAGATAACTTCAAGTCTGCATCATCCAACAATGGGCCAACAAATGATGTTAGCAATTCTATGGTGAATGAAGCCGAAACAGACTGTGCAGGATGCTGTGTTTTTTCAGATGTCATTAATAAGATTGATGGCACCTTTGAATGATATTGTTCTTTTTTACATGAATGTACATCAGGTGGATGCAACAGATGGAGGTGCAGTCTGGGACATTTTCAGGCGACAAGATGTTAACAAGCTTGAGAAATATCTTAGAAGGCACCATAAGGAATTTAGGCATCTACGTTCAAAACCAGTGGAGCAGGTGATTACCAACTTAATGCAAACTATACATTGTTTCAGTCTCTTTCCTTGGCAAGAAAAAGTATTCATTTTAAACTCTTATTTGTATATCGGATATAATATTTTCTTACATCTTCAGATTATGTTCTTGTAAGCTCAACTTTAGGCATTAATTTGTTTTATTTATGTTATTCCATACTCCCATCCTTGAAATTTCCAACTTTCCCTTTTGATCTGTCCCAAAAACTTTTTGAATTTCCATTTAAGAAAAAAAATTATGGTTCATATGTTTTCTTTCTTCCAAACAAACTTCAACAACACAGTTTTGCAATTGTTTAAACTTCATGCCTTATCAAGTTGAACAAACCCAACGAGACAGGGTGTGTTTTTGGAAGTTATAGTTTTGCAAGTTCAGGCTAATTGGAACTATAACCAAATATTTTTGAAATTTTCTCTTGTAGGTTTTTCACCCAATCCATGATCAAGTTTTCTACTTGAACACATACCATAAGAGGAAGCTCAAAGAGGAGTTTGGTTAGTGTGTTACCCACGGCAGTGTAATCAGCATTAAAACTCTTTCTGGACATCTTATTTTGGTCTCCTGCTTTTGTAGGTGTTGAACCTTGGATGTTCATCCAGAAACTTGGAGAAGCAGTTTTCATTCCTGCTGGGTGTCCTCATCAAGTTAGAAATATTAAAGTATGGTTTGATTACTCCTTTGGTGATGCTGATAAATAAGCATTTGCTCCGTTATACTTTCAGAATCAATAGCTCTCCTTACATAAGTCCGTAACTTTTTAAAGCTTAGTTTTAGTAGTTCAAATCATCTTCCATTTTGCACTCCTTATTTTTCCCAAAATTGTCTCAACTTTGCAGTCTTGTATAAAGGTTGCTCTTGATTTTGTTTCACCCGAAAATGTGGGTGAATGTATTCGAATGACCGAGGAGTTTNAATATTAAAGTATGGTTTGATTACTCCTTTGGTGATGCTGATAAATAAGCATTTGCTCCGTTATACTTTCAGAATCAATAGCTCTCCTTACATAAGTCCGTAACTTTTTAAAGCTTAGTTTTAGTAGTTCAAATCATCTTCCATTTTGCACTCCTTATTTTTCCCAAAATTGTCTCAACTTTGCAGTCTTGTATAAAGGTTGCTCTTGATTTTGTTTCACCCGAAAATGTGGGTGAATGTATTCGAATGACCGAGGAGTTTCGCGTTCTTCCCCAAAATCACAGAGCTAAGGAAGACAAATTAGAGGTGAGTACTACTCATCAGTTGCCATCAAAACAAAATTTGTACCATTAAAAATACGCCCCCCCCCCCCAAAGTACCCTAAAGATGCGAATTATAATTTAGTACATTTTAGTAGAAGAAAATAAGCCGAAATAGAAGAAATCAAACTTAGCATCTGAATATGTGCTGTCTTCTAAAGCTTCAAGGCACGTTATGACATGGGATGAAGTGCACTGTTAGATTGCCTGCAAGCTTGTGCATTTTATTTATTTATCTTGTGAAATACTTCCCTCCCACCCAAGAAAAGTGTTGAAAAGATATTGAAAGGATGCTGAATATTGAAAAATGAGTAATTAGAATTGGTTTAGAAAAGAGAAAAGTATTTTGGACCACATGTTCTTTTCTAAAAAGGGAAAGAGAAAATAGTGAGAAAATGTTTTTGAAACAGATGAAGGGATGAAAATCCATAGTCTCTGTTCTGCATATGCCTCTTGTATATAACCAATATGCTTCTTGTATAACCAATATTCTTCTTGTATTCCTCATCTAATTGGTCATATTTCTGAAATATGGCTTTTGATAGAAGACGAAAACGAAAAACTCCGTTTGTCCCTATTTAAGGTTCCAAGTGCTTTCTGTATGGAATTTAAGAAAGGTGACATTGTGGGGTGCGACGGTGGAGAGAAATATTACGAACCACACACTTGTTTCTTCAAAACAAAATGAGAGTTATTTAGGGTAGTCCAAAAGCGAAAGCGAGAACATAATGAAGGGAGGGATGGATTAATTTTTAAGCATAAATAGGAAGTATATTTTTGCCTTGTGACTATATTCCTTGTTTGCTCAGATGGTTTGATCTAGTTACAAAAAAAACCTACACTTGAATCTGCAGTTTGATTTATACACTTGTCTTTTGGTAGGTAATGAAGACGACTTTACATGCAATCCGATGTGCTTTGGATGAACTGGAGAAACTAGAAGCAAAATAATATAAAAAGTAATGTTGATGCTGGAAATTAATCAGAGGTTTATAGATAATGGTATGGGCATTTTGTTGTTTTTGCTAGCTTTACCTGCCCCTTTTTGTTGAGTAAATCGGGTAAATATATTATATATATATGCTGAACCCCGTTGTTTGTTACCTCCTTAGAGCAGGATTATTATAATATTTTGTTTTTGACGTCTCTTTCACGGAACGACACATATTGCAAGATGGGCGTAGAGTTACGCCTTTTTGACCTCACTTTTAATTCCACGTTTATCCTCACCTTCTTATAGACATCCGACTCTAGTCTGTGAACGTCTTAAGAGTGGGGTGAAAAGTGGGGTCAAAATTGTAATCCCCAAGCATAACTCAAAATTATTCTAGTTTAGAAAGAGTAAGAAAAATAAAACTCACTAAAACCATTGGAATAGTGACATTAGCTTTTTAAAAGGGTAATATAGTCAATTTAAAACAAGGGACTTTTTGGAAGGAAAAAATGGGCTCGACAAAAGCATATTTCCTCCGTCTAGTGCATTCGAATTGTATGACTTGATATTATTGCCCTTTATTTTAAAAATTTGCGTTCTTTCTTAAAACTTTGCATTTCACATACTCAATTTCACATCCTTTGGTTAAATGGTTTTGCATCTTTTTTCCGATTCTTTTAAATTTTCGAAGGCATTCCTTCCATCCAATAATTAAAGTTACAAAATGATTTATATTGGTTGACTAAATATATTTTAAATTTAATTTATGTATTTACATGGTAGTAAAAAGTTTTAAAATAATATTTATGTCTCAAAACAATATCAAATACTCTATAAAGCCAAGATGTGATATGATTAAGTTATTTTCACAAATAATTAATGAAAATAACTAAGGAAAAATGACCCATAATTATCAATGATTTGAATAAAAATATCAGTTCTATTTTACTCCGAAATTGTTGATTCTCATCTTGCCTATAATATGTATTCTTTAAGATCCCTTCTTCATCTCTTCTTCTCAAAGTTTTTTACTATATTTTTCCTCTCAAATAAATAACAAGGAAAAATATCATCTCTCTTCCACCCAAGTGTCCATACGATATTGGCAATTCGAACACCAAAGAAATCATATTACTTTTTTAAGTCCATGAGTATAAGCAATATAAAAGGATAGTACTGAATAATATTTTGTACTCCAACGGCAAAGCCCAAATTTAGAAAGGTAAATTACATATTGTTTTCATCATCAACATAAAGATGATCACGTTAGAAGTAGCTAAACTAATAAAATAATCTTGGGCCTTTATTTGCACTCTATATGTGGTTGTATCACTTGTATAATACTCCCTCTGTAAAAGAAACTTCTAGTTAGTGTTCCCATATCAAGATAATTCTACTTTCTTTATATGTTTTCATTCGATCATTTGATAAAAAAACAAAATAACTTTGTCACCACTTGTTTTGTACTCCCTCTATTCTATAAAGTTTTTCTCGTTTTGACTTTTAAAAAATTTAAGTGGAATGTAATTTGATGTTAACTTTCCAAAAATACTCTTAGATGTGATGGGTAAAATATGATGTAATGGGTAGATTAATCGTGGAAAATTTTGATATGATAGGTAAGTTAAGAATTAATAGAGGTAAAAGTGATTTTATAATATAGACGAGAATGGTCTTTGGGACGAATGAAAAAAGGGTAATACAAGAGTCACAAACAAAATCTTCACAAAATTTACAAATTTGCCAAATATGTAAAGTAATAAATTGAAATAATGGTCTCAATTAATTAAAAAATAAGAACTAAAATATACAAATGGTAAGGTGAAGTATTTTGTAAATGTTTTGTTTGTGACTCTAGCATTACTTATGAAAAAATGAGAAAGGTTGTGAGGAACGCATGAAATAGAACTTTTGAAGTAGTTTTTTAATATATAATTCTTATGTTTTTTGTTCTACACCAATGTTTACTTGATTAAAAAATAACTTTAATCAAATATCGTAAACCTAACAGTAGCCTTATTTTGGAACGGAGGGCATATAGTTAAGGGAAAAAGACAAGAAGTAAAACATAAATAAAGAACTCAAATAAGATTATCATATTTTTATCTCCAAAATAAAACCAAAATTCATTATTTATAAAAAAATCTACTTAGGTCCATTTAAAAATATCAATGTTGCCAAATCATCTCCGTAATAATATCAATGTTGCCAAATCATCTCCGTAATGTCACCGTGTCACTATACATTGTCAAATTAGGTTACAATACCAATAATGGTAATGTATATAGACAAAAATGACATTGAATAGTGCCAAATAAATCAATGTATAATGTCAAAAACAAATAAAATGTTAAATAACAATGTGATTTGCCAATATACAACTTCATGTTTGCATCACAGGCTACATCAATAAAAAGAGCAACAAATTGTGATTATAAAGACAAAATTCCAAACCGACACTTTTTTCAATTTAAAATTGAACAAAAATTATACTCCCTCCGTCCTATTTGCCTTCAAATCCATGTTACGATGTTTGATCAACTTTATTTTTAATTCAATTTATTTAATTGTAGAAATAAATTAAAAAATAGAGGTGCCTTGATTATTTTAAAATATATTTAAAAACTACGTAAAAAATCTACAAAACTAGAGGTGCCTTGATTATTTTATTTTTTTCAAATGAAAAACCAAAAAAAGAAACAAAGTACTCCCTCTGTCCCATTTTAAATTGTTTGTTTACCTTTTTTTCTCTATCCCAAAATAAATTGCATGTTACTTGTTATCGTAAACTTTTCAAAGTAAAATACCTAAACTACCCCTAAAATAAGTCACTCTTCTCTATCGTATCTTCTCATTCATCATCACCCTCCTAAAAAGTAATGACAATTTCAAAAAATCAACTCTTTTTTTAACTTCCTTAAATATGCCAAATAGTCAAAACAAACGACTTAAAACGGGACGAAGGGAGTACATAAAATTTAACTTTATGAATAGTATACGTAAACATGGACAGATGAGGTATATATATCACATGCACATAAAACTAAGCTTTCAAATTCGAATATGTATATTAC